GGATATACCAATTTACTGTTAAATGTAAACAGTGGTTTGGTTAATATTCAGGCTTAAGGTTTTGTTGGCCTAAAGACAGAGTCTCTAAGACTATATCCATTTACTCATTTATTTATTCATTCATTCATTCAAACACCCGCTGAGCACCTACTATCCACTGGTGATATAGTGGTGAACAAGACACACACATAGTCCCTGCCTTCATGGAGCTTATGTTCTAGTTGGGGAGACAGAACTTTAACAAACAAGCACACAGATAATGAACTATCATTGTAATGTGCCACCAAAGTAAAGTACAAGATACTATAAAAACAAACAATTATGGATCTAACCTAGTGTTTTTTTTTTTTTTTTTTTTTGGAGGGGGTCATCAGAAGAAGCTTGAGTAACATTTGTACACTTTTCATTAACTCATTTGTTCTCCACCACAACTCAGTAAAATAAAGTGATATTATGTCCAGTTGTCATAGTTGACTCAATGTTATCATTATAACTGTGTAAAGTATTTGCTTAGTACCAACTATGTACTGGGCCGTATGAGACACCACAATGAACAAGATAGATCAGGTCCCTGCTTTCATGGGGCTTATCACCCTTCATTCCTATCTCTACTCCTGAGACAATGAAATACATTCCCCCCCAAATAGGGGTTCTTCCTCTTTATTTTTTCTCTCATAGTAATTATAAGTTCCCAGGGCTACTGGGTTAGTAATTGTCATCTTAAGATAGGTGTATAAAACACTTTCAGTAGAACTGGCTGCCAGACAGTAGGTAGTCAATACATTCTAATTGCTTTTGTTATTACAATGTTAAATCTCATGTCCTTTCTGGTACACTAGACTTCATCTCTTGAATTAAATTCCATAAATACTTGTTGCAAGCCTACCATGGGATTGACATACCATTTCATAGGAATTATGAGGTCAGTGAGGAAAATTTCTTTAATACTATCTAATTCCACTCTCAACACTTAGGTACTGTGTGACCCTGGACCAACCAAACTCTGTAAGCCTGCTTCCTCATCTTGAAAAATGTAATAATAATACCAATCTCATTCAGTTTTGGCCCACAAAAGTACGTGGCAGAAGATCAATAGATGTTAACCATGAATCATAACTATTGTTATTATTCTTAGAAAGACATTGGGTTAATTTACAGCCTATGCACGTGAAACACTAAAATACGAGAATTTTTTCTACCATATTCAAAAACTAAAAGGCATATTTAGACCACTGAGGAAGAAAATTTCACACTTTTAACTCAACTAGATGTGTTTTCAAGGGCAATTTTTAATTTAAAACTGAGTCTTCCCAATTTTAACATCTGCTGGACCTGCAGAAAAAAAGTGTGAGGAGAAAGTTAATTGGGAACTCTTGTAAAATCAAAAATTATTTAAAAGGCAAGAGTACCCTCTCTTAGAATTCCAACAGGTATGAGATATAAAGGTAGATTCTTCTCTTAGACCAGAGATTCAGCTGTGAAGTAGGTTTATGGTATGGGCACAGGTGTTCTACTAGATAAACTTTCATGGTTCCTTTACTTTATTCATATGTATGTATATATATTAGTATAACTCTTACATAGACATGTAAAAATAATCATATTAGCATTAACTAACTTAAAAGATGTTCTTTTAATATTATTGTAGGGTTGGGTCTTGACTTTTTTCCATGAAACTGTTGGTAGTTTAGGAACCGAATCCACGAAAGATACGATCGTAGTACTTGAGACTATGAAGTTGGAAAAACTGGCATGCAGGCAAAGCGCGGTATTGGAGTAGATTACTGTCCATGATGAGCGTCCAAAGTGAGGGCCTCCTTCTAGTTGACTTGCGCCAGAAGATGAGAACAGGAGTCATCTCTTCTGGATCCCCAAGGGGGGTTTGTTCACACCGAGTTGATCAGCGCCCTTCATAAAAATTCCACTAATCGGCAGTTCTACGTTTGCAAAAGCTTTAGTTCTCTTTTCTTTTCCGAGGCGGCAAGCGTCTCTTACTTTCCCAAAATGGCGGCCTCAGAATCGTCTGGAGACGGCCCGCGTATATCGTCTCCGGACAGGCGGATTTCTAAAAGCCTAGCTATTTATTTTCATATTAAGTAACACATAGGGCGTCATTTAACCTTCAGAACCGAGAACGAGCAACTTAGGCCGCCCGCGATCCACAGCCTTTGCCAAGATGGTGGAAGCAAGTCCATTCGGGCGTTCCTGTCCTTTACCAAGATGGCGGCAGGCGGCTTCCGGCGCGCGCACTCTACAATCCTGTTCAAGATGTCACAGCAGAGGCGGCCGCCGCCAGTCCAAGCGCGACCTGAGGGGAGAGAGCTGCTGTTGCCGAGCGCTGGGTTGGGACTAGGTGAAGCTGCCGCAGCCTCCGCCTGTCAGGAGCGAACAAGTGCTGTCACCTGTGGGGGCGCAAAAGTTACCTCCCAAATCCTAAAGCAACACAGCACAACCTTCCCCCAAGTTACAAAAATGATAGCATGTGCCGCACAAGGTAGGAGGCTCGGTCCCGGTTCTACACAAGCCCCCCGCCCTCTCGCTTGGGCACCCCTCACCGTACGCCTCTTTGGGGACGGGCCACGTGTTTCCCTCGGACTGAGGAGCAGGCGCGTAACGGGAACAGCTGGAGGGAGTTTAATGCTGACATTTTAAAACTGCATGTGTTTTGTTTTATTTGGAAAGGCAGGGGTCCTAGGAACGAGAAGGGGTGGGCGACGCGTTGAGCAGAGTGCAACAAATGTCAGGATTCGGGGGAGTGGCCTCCACGGGTAACTTGGACGCGGGCCCTGGAGAGGGTGGGAGGAGAGGTCAAGGAGTTGCGGGGGGGGGGGTGCTTCGCAAGCAACTGAATATTTAGCCTGCAACTTGCTTTTTGGCTTGCCACCCCTGCTTTCCTTAAAAATAATAAAAAGTGCAAAGAAATCAAGCTTGCCAGAGGTTTTGCATTTGGCGTGCAACTTCCTTTAAGTGTGAGCGCGCTGGGAGGGAGGGAGGAGTGAGGGTTGAACTTGGCAGGCGGCGCCTCCTTCTGCCGCCGCCGCCTCTCAGACTCGGGGAAGAGGGTGGGGGACCGCCGGGGCGCGGGGGAGGGTGGGTTCTGCTTTGCAACTTCTCTCCCGGTGCGAGAGCGCGGCGGCTGCAGACAGGGCCGCCCAGACGATGCGGGGGTGGGGGACCTGCCGGCACGCGACTACTCCCCGGCCCAAAATATGTATGCGCTGACCCCCTCCACTGTCCTCTCCTTTAATAGTCCCCAGAGGGCTTGTCGGACCGCTCGTTCCCAAGCGCGGCCGAGACGCTGCAGCAATATTCCGTGCAACCCCGTAGCCCCGTGCGAAGTGACACATTTCGTGCAACTCGGTCCGGGGGCGGCGCCGCAGACCACCCTCGCTGCTCCCCTTACCCGCCCGTTGTCACCCTCCGGGGCGTTGGTGGCAGTCACCGCCGAGGGAGAGGGCGAGCTCCCGAGTGGGTCGGGAGCCGGGGAGCGGGGCGGGGGCGGTAGTCAGTCAGAAGAGAAACTAGAGAAACTCGGCTCCCTTTCTAAGCCTGCCCCAGAGAGACCAGGTCGGCCCCCGCCGCCGCCTCATTTTATTTTTCTTGCAGGGGTTGGCGAGGAGCGGTGGGCCGCTGTCGCGGGGGAAATGCTGTGGGCCGCCGGTGTGCAAGCGCCGTCGGGGGACGGGTTGCGGCCCCCCCCCCCGGGGGCGTGGGGGCGGGGGCTTGGGCCGCCCCTGCAGTTGCCGACCGTCGCCAACAGGTTGCACCGTTCCCCGCTGCCGCGCTGCCCCTCGGGCGGGGAGCGGCCGGGGGTGGAGTGGGAGCGCGTGTGTGTGCGAGTGTGTGCGCGCCGTGGCACCGCCTCCGCCCGCCCCCAGCTCGGTCCCGCTCGCTCGCCGCGGCCGGGCGGTCCTTTCGCGTGTCCGCGCTCGTTCCCCTCTTTCTCCTCCATTTTGCTAGCTCGAGTCTTTGCCTGGAGCCCGAGTCACCGCCCGCCCGTCGGGGACGGATTCTCGTGGGTGGAAGGAGACGCCGCAGCCGGAGCGGCTGAAGTGGAGGGGCGCGGGGACCGGGACAGGCTCCCAGGAGCCCGGATCCGCGGAAACTGGAGAGGGGCAGAGGGCTGCCTTGTCAGTCGGGGAATGGAAGACTTTCTTAAGTAGGGGCTCTCTCCTCCCCTCCCCTCCATGGAGAAGGGGGCGGCTATTTACTTCCTTCTTTTAGAAAAAAAAAATATTTCCCTCCTCCTCCTGCTTTCACATGCTAAGTTGTTTATCTGTCCTGCGGTGGGAGCTGAGGACGGTAGCGGGCGAAGCGGTGCCTTTGCGAGAGGTAAGAGGCGGGATGGAGTGGGGGCTGGGGCCCATGCGTACGTTCACTGCCCCGAGCTGCGGCCAGGGAGGGGAGGCTGACTCGGGGGCTGCCGCTGGAGCCCACAAACTTTTATTAGCCTCGAGGAGTGGGGGTGGGGGCTGGCTGGGGTTGGGTGACGGTGACGAAAGGGCAGCGCGCGCGGGTGACAGCGTTGGCCTCTTCCTCTCTCTCCGCCACCGTCCCCCGGCCGGGCTGAAGGGGAGGAACCTGAGCTCTGACTGCGTGTGGAGCTTCGTCGAGCTGCCCCGGTTTCCAAACGTCTTATTTCTCCGAGCGGAAACCTGCCCTCCTCTTCTTCGTCTCCCGCTCCCCCCTCCCAACCCCGAAGTCTCCCTTTCTTTTTCTCCGAGGGGGCTGACCAGACACCCAATTTGATGGTGGACGCTAAGCCGCGTCTGAATTCTGCTCGCCCGAATATTTCCACACCACCCTAGTGCTCCCGAGCGTGATCGGGGTTTCTGTCGAGGCTCCGGCGCGTCTCCTTTCTGGCGGGCGTGTGGCGTGTGTGGGCGCGAGAGAGTGTACACACGCAGGGGGCTGACAGCCTGCAACTTGGAGACTTCGGCCGGGGCTGGCGTTATCTGGTAGAAGTGGGCGTGTCGGAGAAAGAACTCAACAGGTCTGGACACATTTCTCTTTTAACCTCGCACTTTTTTCTCTCCCGGAGAGGGTTTGTTCTTTTTGTGCTTGGCATCGTTTCGCGCCTGCTGTTTCTAGTGGCCTGTTTTAGAAAAAGACCCTACTTTTTTAGCCGTGGTGTTTTTGTGCTGCGATTTTTGACAAGCGCTGGTTTGATGTTTGGGGTTGCAGACTTAATTGCAGCCTTGTAATACCACTTAAGACCTCTTGGCATGGTTCTTTATGGCCGATTAATGTGATGGGGTTATTTGCTCTTCAAACTGGAGTTAATGTCGCTTGAGGGATCGTTTCGTTTGCGTATGAAGTATTGTTTTGTTTTCGGGTTGGAAGGCAGCTGTCAAAAAAGCGGCGTGGAAATTCATTAGGCACCATTTGCTATCTCGTGTTTTAGAGATCGTTATAATACTGCGGAGGGGCGAGGAGGTAAGCAGTTTACCCTCAAGATTTGTAGTGGCAGTCCCCACCATCCCTCTCTCCACCTTCGTCGCACCCCCTTTCCGTGAGGGCCAGTGAGGTTTATGCTTTTTATCGTCTCCATGCAGGAAAAGTTTCCTCATACTGGACGGGATTTTACTATGATGTCCTAAATGTGCTTAACAAAGTGTTTGTGCGCCTCTTAAAACATCTTGATTATTGACAGTATACTAGCATCCTAAGAGTCGGAATCAACTCGATGGCAGTGGGTTAACCCTCTTGAGAATAGGTGAAGGTTTAGAATGTAGAGAAAATGATTCTGAACATTTTACTGGATGCTATTTTACCTTACTTTAATGTGATTTTACAGTTCTGGATTTTTATTTGCTTTTCAACATTTTACTATTTGGAAAGGAAGAAAACTCTTAATTTAAAGGTGTAGTATTTCATTCTGAGGATCTTAAGTAGTTAAAAATGTAGTTTAATATAGATTGTATTGCGAGTTATGAGGATTGGGACAGCTGTATTTAAGTAAATTTATATTTAAATAAGCTAAAATTGTGATGAGAAGCTGCCACACATTCTGTATTGCCTTTTTGAAATTTAGATTTTGGTTGTCCTATATACAACACATTTCATTTCATATGTCCAAAATTTGGAGGCAGGCACTGTTAGACAGACACATCCAGTCAGAAATATGGGTTAAAAATGAGAGCCTTTTCCAGCCTATTGGAAGATTAATAGATCAGCATTGTTGTTTATTTTTCAAATAAAATGTGCATGGTTCACCAGTAGGTTGTACTAAAAGGTTTAGATGTGTGATTAACTGGGTAGGAGGAGAATTTGGGAGTCATTAGGGATAGAGAATTCTAGCGTAGTATGTTATCAAATTTTATGTGTATGGGTTCTCAGAAAAGCAAACAACCTTGTTTGACAAGAGGTAGGGATTTTAACGCTCAGACTTCTTTTTTTTGAGGTTAACTACATTGACATCAACTTGAACCTTTAGAATAATGAGATGTAATTAATTATAATGTCTGTGACTAATATTCTGTGAGTGGCCATGTGAATAGCCGAGCTTCTTGTTGTTAGGTGCTGTGGAGTCAAGCTTAGTCCCATACAGTTTTGTCCTCATTTGTACAAATGGACTACATTATACTTTTAAATGTGGTATGTTGAATGAGGGCAGAGAAAATGACTTTTTTATTCTGAAGATACGAAAACCACCGATAACGAGGAATTAGATTCGGAGGTAACTAAAAGCTTCATTTAACGAGCTGTCTCTTACCAATTGGATCACAGAGCTAATGTGACTTTATAGTTTATTATGTCCCGCTCTCCTTTTTTTTGTAGTTGATGTTCACTGATGGACTCCAAAGGATCATTAAAACCCTCCATTAGAGAAGAAACCCTCAGCAGTGTGGTTGGTCAGGAGAGAGGAAATGTGATGGATTTCTATAAAACCCTAAGGGGAGGAGCTACTGTGAAGGTTCCTGCATCTTCACCCTCACTGGCTGCTGCTTCACAGTCAGACTCTAAGCAGCAAAGACTTTTGGTTGATTTTCCAAAAGGCTCAGTACACAATGAGCAGCAACCAGATCTGTCCAAAGCAGTTTCACTCTCAATGGGATTGTATATGGGAGAGACAGAAACAAAAGTGATGGGTAATGACTTGGGATTCCCACAGCAGGGCCAAATCAGCCTTTCCTCTGGGGAAACAGACTTTCGGCTTCTGGAAGAAAGCATCGCAAACCTCAGTAAGTCGACCAGTGTTCCAGAGAACTCCAAGAGTTCAGCATCTGCTGCTGTTTCTGCTGCCCCCACAGAAAAGGAGTTTCCAAAAACTCACTCTGATCTGTCTTCAGAACAGCAAAATTTGAAGGGCCAGAGTGGCACCAACGGTGGCAGTGTGAAGTTGTATACCACAGACCAAAGCACCTTTGACATTTTGCAGGATTTGGAGTTTTCTTCTGGGTCCCCAAGTAAAGAGACAAATGAGAACCCTTGGAAATCAGACCTCTTGATAGATGAAAACGGCTTGCTTTCTCCTTTGGCAGCCGAGGATGAGCCATTCCTTTTAGAAGGAAACCCGAATGAGGACTGTAAGCCTGTCCTTTTACCAGACACGAAACCTAAAATTAAGGATAATGGAGATTTTATCTTATCCAGCCCCAGCAGCGTGCCACTGCCCCAAGTAAAAACAGAAAAAGAAGATTTCATTGAACTGTGTACTCCTGGGGTAATTAAGCAGGAGAAACTGGGCCCAGTTTACTGTCAGTCAACCTTTTCTGGAGCAAATATAATTGGTAATAAAACATCTGCCATTTCTGTTCATGGTGTGAGTACTTCTGGGGGACAGATGTACCACTATGACATGAATACAGCATCCCTTTCTCAACAGCAGGATCAGAAGCCTATTTTTAATGTCATTCCACCAATTTCTGTTGGTTCCGAAAATTGGAATAGGTGCCAAGCATCTGGAGATGACAGCCTGACTTCTTTGGGGACTTTGAACTTCCCTGGTCGATCAGTTTTTTCTAATGGCTTTTCAAGGTAAGATTAATACCTTTATGTTTCTCAAGAATACGAAAGTTATGACAAATTGACTCAGATTTAAATATTCATGTATTTTATGTGTTCTTCGAAGATGTGCTTTTCCATGTGAATAAGTTCAAATGAACTTTTGAAAGTAGATGTGGTAGATAACGTAAGTGATTTATCTGCATGTAACCATTTCAAGTTCTTTCTGAAATATTGACATTTGGTATCCCATTGGCCAGTGATTGAAGATTTTAAAATCTTTAAAATAGCTTTATGTATTTACAGGTATTTTATGTAACAGTTGTATGAATTCAAGTAGGTTTCAGGTCTAGCAATATCATAATGTGTTTTTGTGCATGTTCATTTAGCTTGTTTAGCATATGCTCTTATATTACAGTAAAAAGTACCTTAATACTTTACATAACCAAAAGTTGTGCTGCTGTATTAGTACATTTGTGAAGTGTTAGCTTGAAATTAAATGGTTAAAAATTAGAAGTTCCAACAATGAACCCTTTTCTTCAAACTGAACCTTCTGTTGAAGAATTTGAGTTTCGAGATTGCTAAAGCCACGCAGTCAGCAACGTGCCAGACCATAGTAAAGACATGGGGCTCACCCAGAGGGTTCCCGACTTAAATTAAACAAGTTGTGTTTGTTGATCATTCTGTTTAAGAAAGGAATTGATGACAGTGTTGTGCAAAACAAAATTCTACTTTCAAATGTTTCTGCAAGTTCTCAAATAGATAACTGATGGCCAAATTTGTTTTCAATTCTCAGCAAGCATTTAATTTGCTTCTCTCTCTCCCTTTTTTTCCTCAGTCATTTATATGTATACTGACATTTTCTGACCTCAGAAAGGTCTATTAAAATGGAATTATCAGAAAAAATATTCTGTAATTTAGATGTATGTGTTGGTAGGGGTTAGGTTCTCTATCCCCTACTCCCACCCCACTTCAGGTGAATGTTAGGATTGTATATCCATTTTAGGTATGAAGGAAAAGATTAAAATGTGGATTGTAAAGATATGAGATTGATCAGTGGTTTTTTGAAAGAGGGCATAGTAGATACAGTGATCTATTTGTACATAACCAGTTAGTTTTTTTCTTAAGCGTTAGTGATGTTCATTGTTCCCATTAACTCGTCATTAAGGATTTTATTTAAAACTGTCCTTAAGATATCCTAACACTGAGGTGGCTCTGTTCCTCTTTAAGTAGTAAACTTTTCTTGTTGGGAAGAAATTTAGATTTAGGTTTTGTTGTAAAGGATTTGATTGTTTCTTCTCAAATGAAAAATCTTTAGTTTTTGTGTGTCTTTATAATATAAACTACCTACCAATCTATTGTTTAAATAATAATTATTTTTATTTAAAAGAACATTACTTTGACTTTTTATTGTTGTCTTTGTGAATTGAAGATTTTAAATGTATTTAATATGGAAATCTGAGATTTTTTTTATTGCACAAGCAGTTGTGTTTTAAATGTTAAAAGACATTCTGTGTTTTAACATTTTCAGTCTTAAACTTTTTACCAGTGGAATTCATAACTGAATGTGTTTGGTTGTCTTAAAAGAGCAAGTACTCTTGGTTTGACTAAGCTATCTGTAGGAAACTATTAAATAGATTTATAAAACATGTAATGTGTAAAGCAAAATAATATGTCTTAGGAAACACTGGGAGATTATGAATGCATTTTGTCCTGATAATCACCATGGTATTCTTTTCATTTTTTCTTACCATAAAAGAGACATGGAACAAGACATATCATGTTCCATTCACTATGAACTTTCACTAAGCCGTGTAAAATCTGGGATATGGAGCACAAGTCTTAGATGAAGATAGTTACCCTTTAATCATTAAAGATAATTTTAATACTTTGAACTTTTATAGTGCTTTATGACATATAAGTTTGCCATAAGTCGGAATCAACTCGACAGCAACAAGTTTATGACATATAAAGGTGCTCTGGTGGTGCAGTGGTTAAGTGCTTGGCTGCTAACCAGAAGGTTAGTGGCTGGAACCCACCAGCTGCCCCTCGGGAGAAGGATGTGACAGTCTGCTTGTGTAAAGATTTACAGGCTTGGAAACCCTATGGGACAGTTCTGCTGTGTCCTGTGGGGTTGCTATGAGTTGGAATTGACTCGATGTCACTGGGTTTTGGTGTGACATATAAAATGTTTTCACATATCCGTATGAAAGTAGGCAAAGCAATGATAATGTGGCTCTTTAGAAATTCTTTACTATCCAATGAAATTATTATTTTTACGTCAGTGTGTGATTTGGAATTAAAATCTAGCCTGTGCCCTAATGAAGAGGCATAATACCTTATTCAGGATCATTTGGTAATGTTTGAAAATGCTGTATCTTATGGCATTCATTAATTTAGCACTGGGAAGTATGATTACCCAGAACAAAGCTTCTTCCAAATAAATTGAAACAGTGTTTCTCTTCTAACCATCATTGAATTAGTTTATTGTTTCCAAATAACAGTGCAGTGTAACTCCAGTTGGTTGCTTTCTCTTTCTGTATGTTGCATGGCTCTAGCCAAACATTAGCTATGACCAGTGACCCTCAGTGATCAGCAAACAAATCAACATGTTAACAACACAACTGGATTGAATACTGACCTGACTTCAGAGATAAAAATATTAACTGCTACTAATAACTTCACTTGCATTCTTTTTAAATTAAAAAAAAAAAGTGTAAATTATAATATGTCTGACTTTTAAAAATGCCGCCTACCATTATCTTTTCTCAGAATAAGTAAAACAAAAAAAGCCTATACTCGAGGGGAAGGAGAATCTTCAGATGTGTTAGTGTACCACAATGTCCAGTTATCATATTAGATCATAAAATTATGAATATTATCATTCATAGTCAAGCATTTTCTTTTTAAGGCTTAAGCTTACAGACAGTAAAACAAAAGAAACTTTATTGCTGCTCAAATCTATCCTTTAATAAAATGAACTAGCCATTCTGATTTGATAGGTTTTTAAATACTGAAATTCAGTAGGTTTAGGATAAATTTGTCACATTGATAAAAGCACATTTTTGCATAATTTGATTTTCAGCATTGTTTCACTTCAGTTTACTAATGGCGTAACTGCTGAAAAGAGGCAGAGTGAAATCAGTGGTTTCAGGTGGATTTAGAGCTTTTTTTATTACATTAAAACTATTACGTTGAAACTTTTAGTGTTAAAAAGTGGACTGCTTTCTAACGGTAGGATTAATGGAGAGAAAAGGATGCAAGATGAACTTGTAAACTCAATCTTAGGTGGATTTTAGGGCTCTGATGATTGGCATTTAATGAAGCTACTGAAGTTTATGTAGACTTTAACATCTCTCATTAATTGTGCCTGTGTCTAATTTAATAAAAGTAATGAAATTGACGATGTGTCCAAACACAGGATGAGCGAAGCAAATTCTCCCCCACTTAATCTTTTTTATTATTAACATCATATTGAATATTTTCTCAGAAAGGGGAGGGGGCCATAAAGAAGAGAAGAGATTTTGTTTTATGATTTATACCTTTTTAAATGGATACTTTTCTTTTTTCCTGTCCTTCCAAAGGTTCTAGCAGTGGCTTTTAAGCTTAATGTTTCTGAAATTCACTTATATGAAGTGATTTCTAAATATTTTAAACGGGATTTTTCATGTATATTTATTTATTTCTTCCTTTATGATCACGTAAGGTACTTTTTCTTTTTTAAATCCTGTATCTTGTTATGTCTGTATTATTAGTAAAAGGAAAAAAAAAAAAAAGACAACACGGTGTATTCCTGTGTCTCCGTTTAGCATGGAATGACTCTGATACAGAAATGTGTGACCTATGTGTGGTCAGATTTTATTTAAATTACTTCTTGTGATATTTCTTTGGCTAATAAATTATATTTTTTATAATTGATAACGTAATTTGTAGTCGTAATGTTTTGGTTTTGTCTTTTAGTGTTACAGATATTTTAGTTAATTAGACCACTTTCAGTATATTACTGAATGTTTACGTATTTTATGAAATACTTATTCTGAGACATACCTTGCATACATGTAGGTTAAATGCAAATTGTATTAGTAGTGAAATTAATATGTGGGGTAGAGATCCCTCCAGAGGTCGTCTGAGATTTTAGTGAAGAGATTGGATCACAGGGGTTTATTTCAGTATGAGTGCCTAATGTGAAAGCCAGAGCGTCTGTATTAATTGGTTGATTATGTAAGTCTTAATCTACTCTGGCCTACAGGTGATTTAAATAGCCTAGTTTTGCTAAGAAATCTTAATTTACATAGGTTTAGAATAGATCTGGGACATAGTTTTTAAAACTTACATACTTTTTCTTACTTTAATGACTACACCTAATTTTAATTGGCAGTGAGTTCTCATTATGTACTATTATCTAGGTGGGTACATTAAATAGGCAAAATAAGGTTTGTTCTGAATAGCATTTACCCTTCTGAGGATATCTGGTAATATTTTCATCAAAAGTAATTGTGTACTTCCGTATTAGTCATGGAAGATATATAGGTGAATCGCATTGCATAAAGAGTTTTCAAGAAATATTTTGTTGAATTAAATTATAACTGAAAAAAAAAATCAATTATTTATTGACCTTTACAGAAGGATTTAAAAGCCTGTATTCTCCTTATTTCTGTAGCCCTAATTGGCAACTGCTCTCGTTTTCTTCTGACTTGGTCTATTTGGGCTTTATGTTTTTCAAATAAAAATATTCCTACAGAGAACTTCCACTTTAAAAACAGAAAGATCTATTAAGTGAATCCTTTCCCTTTGAATTGTGTGTGAGCATGCCTATGCTAAGTTGGGTTAGGATATGAATTTTAATGGTGGTTTTTTTTTTCCTATTTTACATATTAAAGTACATCTTAAAAAATACAATTTTATAGTAGTTCATGGTGGTAGACAGTTATTTCAACCCCCTAAATACTTAGTTTTGACAGATGGCCTTCTTTATTCCCCAATACCATCACAAATGTCTCTTAAATACAGGGTTTCCAGTGGTGTTTGAGAAT